TTATGGCGGACCACTCTCCTTGCTCCCTCCTAGCCTCTAGGTCACCTTCCTCAGCCCTACCACCATAGCCAGGCTACAGGCTAGCTCCGGCCCTCACTCCCTTGCTTCTCTCCCACTCGGACTCTTTCCTGGACTCATTTGGGCAGCATGGGCACCTCTCATGCTCAAATGAGAGTGGCGGCCTACACCTCCAGCTTATGTAGGCTGAAACAGGTGCACCGCCCAACCTCTAGACCCCTCCAAGTGCCTCTAGGTGGAGCGAGGTACCCCAAAGGCCAAATTTCCGGTTTTGGCCTATCCGAGGGCACCTGGGCCTCATTTTGGCCAGGTACATGCAGTCCGAGAGGCTGGTACCCTCTCGGACTACCCCTTGGCCTACCCCGGCCTCTTTTCACCTCAAAAAGTGCTGCCTTTGGGTGCCGCTATCCCAAAATGCAGTCTTTACCAAAATTTGAGGGCCTAGAGGCCCGTTTTCCACCTTTTTCTTGGTCTAGGCCTCCTCTGGGTAGGCCGTTGCATTTTCCCAAGTGGCGGCACAGATCTCAGCCTTGGATCTAGCTGAGATCTATGGTTCTCATCATTCCGAGTCACTCCAAGCTCCCCCTTGCTCCAAATTTGAGCCTTTGCTCCAATTTTTAATTTTTTTGATGTACCTGGCCCACACCTTGGGCCGAATTCGCAGTTTTGTCTTGTTCCTCTTTTTGTTTTCCCTCCAATTTGCTGCCAACTCATTCCGGCGCTAGCCGTTTTGTGTCAGCCCACAAAAAACGGCTAGATCTCCTCCTCCGCAAGATCAAATCTCAGATCTAAGGCCCAAAAATGAGCCGGCCAACTCACATCAACATTTTTCTTTATTTTTGTTGCTAAAATTCAGATATTGCAGAGATAATGCCCTTAGGACCTTATCTCTTCAATCCGGACTGCCCTCCTAGGATCTAGGAGGGATGAGGTCATCATTGAGACTTGTCAGTCCCTACCGCTGCAGTCCCAACCTGGCGGCACTTTTTCCTACACTCCTTCCTCCTCCTTCGTCTCATTCTCCCCCCTTTTCCTCCTTTTTTTTCTCGTTTACTGTTGGGACAAGTGTCCAACAGCTATTTCTCCTCTTTCTAGCTGTTGGACCTTCCCCAAGGTCCGATTTTGCAGCCGGCATATGGCCGTTGCACCTCGGACTGCAGTAGTGGCACCCCCAAGGCCAAAGGGGGCTCCTTTTTGCTGCCGCCGCCTCCAGTTTGAGACCCCCTTGCTCCGATTTTTTCTGGCCAGCCCTTTTTTCCACGTGGAGCCCTCGGAACTTCGTTTTTCTTGGCCTGGCTGGTCCAGGATACTCGGACTGCTAGCCGGCCCCCCCCTTACTGCTGCTACTCCATCTTTTCTTTCCCCTCGGCACCTCCCGCCGGCGCTTGCCGTGGCGGCACTTAACGTTTTCATCTGGACTCCCCAACCCGGCTGGTCCCGTCCACCTGTCGTCATGCTACTTTATTTATGTTGTCGTCGCATTGGATCCAGGACCCCCTTGAGTTGCCCCAGGTGCCCTCCGTTTTTCCCGCCTCGCGCCCGTCTTCTTCGTTTTGTCGACAATCCCTGTCGGCGGCTCCTAACACTTTTTATTCCGTCGATACCCAATCTGCTAGTGGTTCCGCTGGTGCCGCCATTTTTATCTAGGCCCACGCGGTCCCTTGCACTTCGGCCTACCTGCATTACGTCTTTCCCTTGGTCTCACGCGGTTCCCGGTACTTCGCCCCGTCGACACCACACCGTCCCTTGGTCCCGCGTGATCCCCGACGCTTTGTCCTGCTGGTACCGCCCCGTCCTTCGATCCCATGTGGTCCCCGGCACTCCTGCCCCGCCTTTACCACGTCTTTCCTTGGTGCCCCTGACGTCTTTCTGCCTTACATCGACCTCCGCTCCCCGCTCCTATTGCGTCCCGCATCCTATCCCGTTCCGGGTGCCGGCTCCCACCTACCCTGCGGTCTCCCTGGCCCTCCTGCCGCCGGGTTGCGTCATCGCCTTGCGCCCTGTCCCTTCCYACTTCCTTCCTTCCCTTGTTGCGCACCTCCTATGCTACTACCGTCTTCCCGGCGGCCCTTCTCCGTCCTTGGGGAAGAAGTCGCCCCTGTTGTTCTCTCACAGTCCTTTTGCCGCTTTCTGCTTAGCCAACCCATTTCTAGTCTGGCGGCCCCGACGACTCTGGGCAGCCTCTGGCTTCCTACTGTCCGTGCCCATGCTTCCACTCTTTGCAGCATACCTGCCTCCGGTTTTCTCTGTCGTGCACAAATTGGTCATATACAGTCTCTCGAGTGACGGGAAGTCATTCGGGACTCACCAGTCCCGACACCGGTACCTCCACCAGTCCCACCGGTACCTCCACCAGTCCCAACACCGGTACCTCCTCCTCTTTTTGGAGGGAACATCATTGCAGACTCTGATATTGCCCCTACAGGCCCTAGACTCAGACTGGTACACGCTAGACCTAGCCTACACTACCGGCCTCTAAAAATGCCACTTTTGTCTTCTTCTGCTCGGCCTCCAGTACCTGCATATTTACCCCCGTGCCGGGTGCGGTACCGGCCTACCTGCTACTTGAGTGTTGTTTCCCCCTGCAACCCTTCGAAGCCACAGCCACAGGTAAGTACCGGCCCTAAGGGCCCAACGAACGAACAAGTGCCCTGGCGGGCCACACACACACTCATACCAACCAGCACTCAGACAGGCACAGTCACACACACACAAGCCAACCAGCACTCAGACAGACATGCAGTCCAACAAGCACACACACACACAAACTTAGGAGGCGGGAACTCAATAGGGCATTCAGTCTATGAGCAAAACTCAGAAATCAGTTGTGTGTTTCAATCCATGTTTGGAGGGGTTATCACACTACCCCCCCCTCAAGAGCGAGGTCCCTTTGAGCGAGTAACTCATTCTGAGTCCTTGGCAAACACATCGTAGGCGAGCAAGGCAAAGAGATTCCTGGAAAACTCTGTTGCAGAGAGCCTTGCTGAGATCTTCGGCGTGGCGTTAGCGGCGATCTGTCGCTCGTAAGCTTTAACAACACGCGGTGCGTTGCGTAGCAGTTCCTGTTTGGAGATCCAGTTGAGATCGTCTAACGGATGATACACGAAACGAACCTGGTACTGTCTGTTTCTCCCCTTACCTACATGTTGTTTAATTCTATCTATCTCATGCCCGCCCTTGATTGCGCGAGGGATCATATCTTCGCGGTAATCGAATGTCTCGGCATCACGATGGAGGTACAGTTTAGATGCATGGAACACAGGATATGTGCGCAGGTGAGCTGGCACGTCTACAACGTACGAAGGGCCAAAGTGATCTTCCCCAATTACATCCAAAACTTCCCAATACCCGTAGTAGAGTGGGAGGAGTTTGAGTGAGACTCCCTCCTCCTCTGAGAATTCAGACATCTTCCTACCTGAATCTCCGATTGTCGGCGCTTTTTGTTTGCATGGTGGATCATGGCATGTTGTCGCTTGGTCATAGCTGCAACAACGACTTTGAGCAAGCGATCATACTTAGCCCTGAAGCCGGGCCTGCCGGGTGTTAAGCCAACTGACTGCTCAGGGAATAAGTAGGAGAGTGGATTACGGATCTGCCAATCGTAGTGCAACCTGTTGGGTGTCATGGCGGTGGCATAATGGACAGAGTTGTTATACAACCCCTTGACAGAATACAACTCTTCATCCCATGTTTCCTGATCCGGAATGATCAACGCACGGAGAAGTTGGAATACAATCTGGTTGATCTCCTCATCCAAACCGTTGGCTTCGGGGTGTCGGCCAGATGTCATGCACAGTTTGATTCCTAGGTGGGACGTGAAATCCTTCCATTCAGTGCTAATGAAACGCGGATCCCGATCGCTCACAAGAGTCTTCGGGGTTCCGAATTGCAGCAGGTATTTCTRTTGGAATTYGCGAATSACTAGATYTGTTGGGGTGTGAGGCGGCAAAGGGATCAGATTAAGGAATTTTGAAAATCTGTCAACAATCACCATGACTTGCGAATAACCGTTTTTGCTTACCTTACCCATGTCAGTGAA